CTCAACAATGCTCCCTTTGTAAACAAGACCACTATTTAGGAGCAGTGCCGGCCTTGCGCCCTTGGGCAAATTTTTCCAGGCGCCCCTCGTATGGAAAGGAAATTCAGAAAAGTGAACCAATATTAGTTGTTATTAATAGTCCAAAATTTGATAATGATAATGATAATGATTTGACAATTATTTTCAGTATAAATTTTAACGAATCATTTGCTATTTCTTATGGGATTTAGAAGCTTTTGTCAATGATTAATTTCCTATTGTATTTCAAAATGAGAAATTAATAAAAGCACTTATGTATTTTTGTAAGAATTCTATTTAAAAAAGCATATGGATAATATTAAGTAAGATTCAAAGATTAAATATAACCTCACAGTACAAATTAATTTTTATGTAAAAATTTACATTACGACGAATGTTTAAACAGAAATGGAAAATTTATAAAAATATTTAACTCAGTTTAATTCCTAAAATCAACTTTTCGAGCCTTTTTCTCAGCGAAAGTTTGAATTAGAACAGAGGTATCTAGATTTTCGGCGATATCGTGTTCAATAGATAAAGTTGCTAAATTTGAAAGTTTATTCTGTGACATTGTCGATCTTAGGTACGTTTTAATTAACTTTAATTTCGAGAAACTGCGTTCACCACTTGCTACAGTTACCGGTATTGTTAATAAAATACGCATGGCTATCCATATATTTGGATACAAATCTTGCAAATCATGTTTTTTTATGAAGTTTAATACGATTAGTGGAGTAATTTTGACTTTAGATTTATCGACAAGAAATCCTTTGACACTCAACAATTCATCACAAAGTTGTCTACCTTCAATATCTGATTTTGAATTTATTGTTAATTTAATTTGAAGACTGTTACACATTTCTAAAAGTTCGTCTCGATCTGGCAGATTATCAACATTATACAAAAAACCCCAAAATTTGAAAATTCATTAAGATGTTGAAATCTCTCTTTTATTGATGATAAAACTGTATCCATCAAGGGGTTAAAAAATTCAACTTCTAATTTCTTCTCTGGGCAAGTGATTGGTTCGTCTCTGTTTTTTTCATCAAACATCCGCTTAACACGTCGTACCCTTTTTATTTCTTTAAAAATTGGTTCAATTTCAAGCTCATCTGCTAGTTCTCTTGCTGTAACAATGGCCTCCTTAAAACCTTCTTTTCTATAGTCTTCTAAAAAGTTGCAGCAGTTCTTTAACATTTATACGTATTCGGTGATGTCCATATCCTTTGCTTGAAGCGATTTACTGACTATGTTTATTTGGAAAAGAATATCATACCAGACAATCAGTGAGACAAGAAAGCTAAAGTCTTTTAATTGTTCGGCTAAAGTAATAGCTTCATGTGCTGTATGACTATCGCCACCTGGAATTTCAGATAAAGCCACTAAAGCGTCATGAATTCCACCGATTTGGTATCGAACTGCTTTCACACTACTGATTTTAGCTTCCCAACGTGTGTCAGATAGTTTTTTTAACGTGTATAGTTCAACGTGATCAGTCAAAATTTTCCACCGATTGACTGAAGCAGAGAATAATGTGAACAATCTCTGAAGTACACCGAAAAGAGTTACTGACTTGACTGAAGATTGTGCAGCATCAGAAATTACGAGGTTTGAATTATGGGATCCACAAGATACAAAATCAGCCAACGGATTTTCATCTAATATTCTTCTTTGCACGCCAACAATTTTTCCTTTCATATTAGATCCGTTATCATATGCATGACCTCTGCAGTTTTCGAGTTCAAGTCCGAATGTCTCCAACATTTGAAGTATTGATTCAGTAAGACCTGCACCAGTCGTATCATTGACATTAATAAATCCCACAAAATGTTCTTTTATTTCTACCGTATCGACAGTTACATCTACAAATCTAATAGTAAGGGAAAGTTGTTCTTTTCGCGAAACGTCTGGCGTACAATCAGCAATGATTAAATAATATTTGGCTGACAGAGCATTATTTTTAATTACAACATTTACATTTTCAGCAATTAAATCTATTAATTCATTTTGTATCTTTGGCCCACAAAAATGATCAACAATTTTGCCATCCACAACAAGATTCAAATGATTTTCCATGACAGGATCAAACTTTGCAATCGTTTGCACTAACACCAGAAATTTACCATTATTAGGCGTAAAAAGTTTATCTGAATTACCTCGGAAAGCCATATTATTTACACCTAAATATAAAACAATATTCAACAGCCGAAACAAAACACTTTGCCATCGCAAACTCTCTTTTTTAATAATTTTTAATTTCTCTTTATCGCTAGTTTCTCCTGTTTTTAGCCTCATCTCTGTTTCTATCCACATTCGGTAAGCTTTTTTATGAGAAAGACTGTTCTCATGAATTGAAATATATTCTGATAAATTTTTCCATTTATTGAATCCATCACCAACGAATTTTGAAATAGATTTGTTGTCAAAAAGTCGACAGCAAAAGCAAAATACGCAATCTCGCGAAAGAGAGTACACTAACCATCGTCTGCAAAGTACTTCGCCATTTGAAAGTTTTCTAGTATAATATGAGTTTGAAAAATGTCGACCTTCTCCATTTTGAGGGTAATTGTCAATTTTAATTTGATTTGGACCACCTTTAATCAACTCATCGATAAGACTATTATTTCGAATGGTAGGCCAATTTCCACAATCAGACAACTGGAAAATCTCTTGTGAATTGTCAATAATATCCTCGTTTTTCGTATCTTGTACACTATTTAAATCTATTTCTTTATTTTCAATTTCATGTATGTCATTCACTAATTCCGTGGAAACACTTTCGGAAATACTTGATTCAGAAGGAACTTTTATACAGTCTTCAGGGATTACGTCTTTTCCTTTTTGAATTATATATTTTTTAATATCCATAAACTTTTTATCATGTTCTAATTGCTGAATTTTCTCCGCTTTTCGTTTTCTAAATTCAAAACCAGACGGTTTCTTTTTATCACTTGATATCTTGCTAATTTATTAAATCAAAATTATTGCGAATATCCTGTACGTAAAAAAATAAAAAATTATTATTATAAACTATTTCTAGAGTGGCCGACTCGACCCTTTGAACAACAAAATAATTCCTCATTTCTTTCAACTCAATTTTTTTTGCTATTGAGGAGTTTTTATACCAGTGTGACAGTGTGAAATATTTCTGTTAATATAATATATGGGGGATCTCGGGTGAAGTGATCAAAGTAAAAAAAAATTTTGTCTCAATTTCGCTCAAACTGGAGTAATTTGTACTTCTATTGGGTGGTAATTTATCGTAAAAAAATTTTTCAATTTGGACCAACATTTACTCGGGGGGGAGGGGGTTGAAGTTTATGGGTAGCGTTTTCTTTAATAATTTTTTTTTCTTGAGTATCAAAAATAAAAATTTTATCAACATCAGTTTCGATAGCTTTTTTAATGCTCTTTCGATTGAGAACATGCATTTTTGAAAAAAAAAATTTTTGAACCAAAAAAAATTAATTTCAAAATTTTTTTTGACTTTTTCGGGGTAAAAGGTACGATTTTTTTTTTTTTTAAAGGAAAGCTGAGATTTTTTCCTGTAGGGACATGTAGTTGAAAAAATGGGACAAGAAAGATTAAACCTTGAAAATTAACATTTTTTATTCACTTTAGCGCTGCGCTGCGATCTACCACGTGACTCATTAGTAGTATGGTATTTGGAGAGAAACATTAATGCTCTCTGCATTTTACAGGGTTGAAACTGTTATTGAGTAAATACCTGTATTTCATCAACGTTTAAATTTGGATAATAATAAATGAATAATAATTATATAAAGTGGAATCTTGGAAATTATAAAATCGGTTCAAAAATAAATGTAGCATACTAATAAGAGTTTACTTTATTATAGTAATCAGTCTTATCAAATAAATACTCATTTATATCAATTCATCATTCATTTGGTTATTAATTTATCCATTTATTCGAATATTTGACTGCAATGAGTATTTATTTGACTAAGAAATAATATAAAATGAATATTTTTTTCATTAAAGTTTTCTTCATAATTCATTACTTACATTATTATTGATGGAGACGACTGCTTTTCCCCGAAAGGACAAAATGTCGAATGGACGAAATATCGAAAAGCCAAACTATCGAATGGACAAAATGTCGAAAAGTCAAGACGTCGCATAGTCAAAACTTCGAAAGGTCAAAATGTCGAAAAGCCAAACTGTCGAACGGACAAAATGTCAAATAGCCAAAACATCGAACGGACAAAATATCGAATCGCCAAGACGTCGAACGGACAAAATGTCGAATAGCCAAAACGTCTAATAGCCAAAATGTCGAAAAGCCAAGACATCGAAAAGTCAAAACTGCGAATGGACTAAATGTCGAAAAGTCAAGACGTCAAATGGTCAAAATGTCGAATGGACAAAATATCGAGACGTTATTTTGCTCTGAGTTTCCCTTCTATATAATGCACACTAGTTTGTGTTGCGTTTAACACTCTATAGATATCGCTAGTTGTATTGTTTTTAATGTTTTTTTTTACATTTTTTTATAATAATAATAATAATAATAGTAGTAGTAAAGTAATTATTATAGTGTAATAATAATAATAATACAAACTTTTAATTTTAAGCAGTTAAACTAGTGTGCATTATATAGAAGGGAAACTCAGAGCAAAATAACGTCTCGATATTTTGTCCATTCGACATTTTGACCATTTGACGTCTTGACTTTTCGACATTTAAGGTACATTTACACCTTCGGTAAAAAAGTTTTTTTTTTTTTACTTACAAGATTTCGTTCACACGCCGCTTTTCCAATGAGATAGGAAAAACTTATTTTTTGCGGGAATTTTGAATTTTAAGTTTTATTTTAGAAGGTGAAAGAATGTTCGTATTGATAAAATGAAATTATTATTAGAGAAAGACAATTTTCAATTTAATTATATTATAATATAAATAAAGAAGAAGATTTTGTAATTTACAATAAAGTGAATTATTAATAGAGTTTCTCGAGCTCAGTCGATTCAGTTTGTTCTGGCCACGAGAATGAAACACGATGATAAACAGTTTTACGTTCATCGTCAATAATAATTCTCGATAGTTTGTAAGTAAGTATATTTTTAAATATTATTAAAAATAAATCTTGAACTTTTTATTTACATTGATAAATAAAATGTATTGTTTTTGTAGTCTTTTGAGCACGCAGTGTTTTTAATGCTTGACAACATAACCTGTACATATGTATTATATTATTGTAACATTAATGTTTTTTATGAAATAAAAATAAAAAATGTTATTAAACTTCACACATTTTTATGAACTATTATTATTTAAAGTATATATGGTAATTCTTTTGTACTGTTAAACACTTGTTTAGATAATTAAGCTTAATATATCACGGTGAGCTTCGTTTAGGTTCAACCTAAACTGCATGACCCTTCTCAGGTTTTTTTTATATCAGTTCGGTGATGCCTCACGATCAGTTTAAGACGAAAATTAAAATAATCGTTGGAGGGAAACTCAAATTATATTGATTTTTAAATTTTTTTTCTAGGTTATTAAAGATATTTTCATTAAAATACCGTTTGGTAAAATACTTATTGCTTCAAAAGCTACAATTTAACATAAAAATAGATTATATATAATAATTAAACCATTTTGATACATAGAATTAAGAAAATGTTTAAAAATAGTCGAAAAAACTGAAATTTTTCTAATTTTTTAAACTTTACTCCTTTATTTAACGTTATTTCAATAAAGTCATGTAGAAGTGAATTAAGGGGTTAAACCACTCTAGAGCGTCAAAAAAAGGCCTAATTTTAGAAATTTTTTTCAAGAAAAGTTTAAATGTACTGAAAAATATGTTTACATATCTTTATTAGGTACACTTTGAAGAGAAAAAAAATATACTTCATTAATTTTTTTTTTTAAATATCAAATTTACAGGTGCGTGATAGGAACCCTTTCTGAGAGGAATCACGTCGCGGCCGGAAAGGTTTTAGCTCCAATTTTCATCCTAGAACAAAAAACAAATTTCATTCTATTTTTACATCTTAAAAGCTAGAGAAAGACGTAGGGGATTTTTTTTCAATTGATTTTTGCAAAAATGGCGAACATTTTAAGGAAAAACCGAGTTTTTTACTTAAAAAATTGACACTAAATTGTTTATAACAAAAAAAATATGCAACATAAAAAAATCCGTACGTCTTTCTCTAGATAATGTTATTGAGAAGCTACAGTTTAATTTTTAAGTAAATCGGTTGAGATTTGTAAAAGTCATGTTTCCGGCCAGCACAAAAAATGTAGTTTTGAGAAAAACGAGTTTAAAGTTTTACTTACGACTTTTTGGATATACCTTCAATCTGCAATGCCTGCGCCGTATAATTGACCTTCCAAATTAATATTATCTTGTTCTTCTTCTTTTCTAATGGATATTTTCAACCGAGAAACATTAAAATCGGTTAAGATTTGTTGGTTTTAACTGACCCTGGCGGATTCGATTTACCTAAAATCGACCCAGCTGGGTCGAATCTAAGTCGAATCTAAGTCGAATTTAGGTAATTATCAAAAAAAAGCTTTAAATTGATGAAAATTTATAAAAATTAGTATTGTGAGGTTAAATGAACATTCATAGAGTTAATTTTTGTAAGAATTTTAATTATTAACGTGATAAATAATAAATAATTACTTGATATGTGCAAGTGGTAACTGTAGATTTTAACTCGTTGTCAGTTTTCATAATATTTTCAGAAATTAGTGTAAAATGTGTGAAAAAATAATTTATATTTAATAGAAATTGCAAGTTTTATTAAATTATTTTATTATTTAACAATCACATTTCATAATAATTGCAATTTAATTAAAAAATAACAGTTTTCTTAAAAGTGACAAGAACTCTATTATACCGACCACACACGGAACAGCGGAACGCGCGCCAAGATTTGAAAAGAGTTACAAATTTTAAACATTCATTAAATAGAAAATATGCAATTTTTTTCTTTATTTATAAAAAAAACTTTAGAATTTTGTTAAAATAATAAAAATTAAGCTGATATATTTTTCTTAAATTTTTACTTATAACTTTTTAAAAAATTCTTAAATAAAAGATCAAAAAATTTAGTTAAATTTGTATTTTGCCATCATAATTTTTTAACAAAAATATAATTTTTTAGACATAAAAATAAGAAAAATTTACATTAAAACTTATTTAACAATTACATTTTTTTAACAAAATTCTTTTTTTTTTTTTAAAAAAAGTTGCAGATTTTTTATTTCATATTCACAATTCTTTAATGAAATTATTTTTTAATACAAGTTATAAAAAAATTAATCATTTATTTATATTAATGGTAATAATAACTAATTTTAAGTAATAGGATAGCTGGAAATTTGTGCTCCCTGCATGCTGCTGCCATCTAACGGCGTCTGCAACTAATATAGTTCTTGTCACTTTTAAGAAAACTGTTATTTTTTAATTAAATTGCAATTATTATGAAATGTGATTGTTAAATAATAAAATAATTTAATAAAATTTGCAATTTCTATTAAATATAAATTATTTTTTCACACATTTTACACTAATTTCTGAAAATATTATGAAAACTGACAACGAGTTAAAATCTACAGTTACCACTTGCACATATCAAGTAATTATTTATTATTTATCACGTTAATAATTAAAATTCTTACAAAAATTAACTCTATGAATGTTCATTTAACCTCACAATACTAATTTTTATAAATTTTCATCAATTTAAAGCTTTTTTTTGATAATTACCTAAATTCGACTTAGATTCGACTTAGATTCGACCCAGCTGGGTCGATTTTAGGTAAATCGAATCCGCCAGGGGATTTTGAACAGAAAATTGCAGATTCAGACAACTAAGTGCCAACGCGCGCAGTACAGGACCACGATCGGGCCCAAGTTCAATCACTTAAAAAGTGTTTCGACTTATAATTGATATTGTTTCTTATTCTATACATCCTTAGGCACCTTTTAAAGCAAAAAAATTTTTTTTGATTTTTTGAAAATTCTAGAGTGGTTTAACCCCTTAAAGTACATAAAATTTCCTGTAAATCAAAAAAAAAAACTCTTCTATCTATTACTGTTACAAAAATATGGTCATTTGAATTTTAAATTTAATGGATAAATAGTTAAAATTTAACATTAGGTCTAGATTATTTGGTAAAATTGTTTTCGCAGAACCTCATCTCAATTCCATAATATAATACGTATAAGAAGGTTTAATCTTGAACAGTTTCAAATTGAAAAAACTGATTTATCTCACTTACATCGAAAGTTACATTGGTTTAAAGAATGTCTATTTCTATTAGAGAGATTTGAGTAGTTTTTAAAAATCCGTTTATTTAGAAAAATGCAACATAATCATATTTAAAATATTTACTTTTTTAAAAAGTAAATGGTAAGTTTCAAAATAAACGGATTTTTAAAACCTACTGAAATCTCTCTTATAGAAATAGACATTCTTTAAACCAATGTTACTTTCGATGTAAGTGAGATAAATCAATTTTTTCAATTTGAAACTGTTCAAGATTAAACCTTCTTATACGTATTATATTATGGAATTGAGATGAGGTTCTGCGAAAACAATTTTACCAAATAATCTAGACCTAATGTTAAATTTTAACTACTTATCCATTAAATTTAAAATTCAAATGACCATATTTTTGTAACAGTAATAGATAGAAGAGTTTTTTTTTGATTTACAGGAAATTTTATGTACTTTAATTCACTTCTACATGACTTTATTGAAATAACGTTAAATAAAGGAGTAAAGTTTAAAAAATTAGAAAAATTTCAGTTTTTTCGACTATTTTTAAACATTTTCTTAATTCTATGTATCAAAATGGTTTAATTATTATATATAATCTATTTTTATGTTAAATTGTAGCTTTTGAAGAAATAAGTATTTTACCAAACGGTATTTTAATGAAAATATCTTCAATAACCTAGAAAAAGAATTTAAAAATCAATATAATTTGAGTTTCCCTCCAACGATTATTTTAATTTTCGTCTTAAAATGATCGTGAGGCATCACCGAATTGATATAAAAAAAAACCTGAGAAGGGTCATGCAGTTTAGGTTGAACCTAAACGAAGCTCACCGTGATATACGTATTCGGTTTGTCGTCAAACATCACGAAGGATTAATTTTGCGTGTTTAAATGAAATATTAAAATTTTTATAATTTTGCAAACAATCATTTAAATAAATCATTAACAAATTTTCTGTTCCTTATTTAATATGATAGTTGCCGCACAAAATGGACTATAATTACCAAGGAGTAAGTTGTATAAAATGAAAAATATATATATACATTTTTTACTTTAAAAGTTTTTTTAATAAGAACGTTTACAAATAATCTGAAATCATAAATAACATTTTTTTTAAATAACATGTACAGTAGAAACTCAATTATCCGGATAAATGGATGCAGGCATGTATTCAGATAATCGATAAAAGTACAAAGTGAACGAATAATCGAATCCCTACTGTAATTATAATTATAAATATACCGTAAATAAAACATGTAATAATTTTGTAACATTATTATCTAACGATTATTCTACTCTCATTTTGTCTTTGATGTATTCATTTTAATAGATTAAATATATTTTTAAATTATATTTTAAAACTTTTTCAGCATATTAAAAATATTATAGTTGCAAAAATAATTCTCTGAAGTTATGAAAATTTTTTTAAATAACGGTAAAAATATAAATAAGCATCAGGCTTCATCAATATAAAAATTAATTAATGTTAATTGCCATCTCGTATTTTTAATAATTAAAAATTGCAAAATATGTCATTTTTGATAAATAAAATATAATAATTGTATTGTAATTGAAAAAAAGATTAGTCGCATTAAAAATCTAATTAGAGATACGCATATAATAACACTATTAATTATTTTCAATTATTTATTATTAGGTATTGAGACATCTTTATTGCGAAATGTGCAAAGAAAAAGTTCCTTATAAAGACGGATGGAGACATGGGTGTTTTCAAAATATAGACTTTGATAAAATAACATGTATTGGAAATGTTATTGTTAACCAAAGCGATTATGATAATTTTGAGTTTTTGGATGAAGATGAAGAGGAGGTTAGTATTTTAGAAAATATAAATAATGAATCTACATGATTTATTCAAAATATATTAAAATATCATTAAAATGTAAACATTTTTTAAGAGAGACTTTTTATTGTCTGTAAATTTGATTCTAATTGTTTCAAACTTTTATATCAAGTGTTTTATTGTTGAAATTTTATGTAATTCACCAATAAAAGCTTTGCTCCACGACTCAAGTAATTATAAAACCAACGATGTTGTTAAAAATTTTGACTTCTAGTTGGCTCAATTGAGTCATTCTGATGTTAAATAAAAAAGGAGCAGAATTGAGGAGAGAATATTTTTTTTATGCATCGAATTACGCAATCTTAAAAATGAAAGCAACGAATTTGTTCATTCCTATGATATCAAATTGTGTAAAAGGCACTTTTCTATTTACATAATTAAATCTTTGTTTAAAAAGTAACTAAAGCGATGTAAAACAATATTAAATCAAATAAAATTGATTTTTTAGCTATAAACATTAAAAAGCTTACTTAATATGGAACTGTTTCTTGTATTTAGGTTTTACAGGCAGATATGAACCAAATTAACAATCCAGTTAAGATTAAGGGCAAAAATCTTCCTATTGTCAAAAGTGTCGAATCTGTAGATTTTGCTACTTATAAAACAAGTATAGGTTCTCAAAAAATGTGGACCGTTAAAACTGCTCCCACACAAATTAATTCTCATGACTTGATAACTTCATCAGTACTAAAGAATCCTACTTTAATAGCAGAGGAATCTATTGAAAATAATCAACCTAATTCGAAAAATAGAATGATGAATCTAAAAACTAGGGAGACTATCTCTTTACCACCAACTGCTCCCACACAAATTAATTCTCATGACTTGATAACTTCATCAGTACTAAAAAATCCTAATTTAATAGCAGAGTAATCTCTTGAAAATAATCAATCTTATTCGAAAAATAGAATGATGAATCTAAAAACTGGGGAGACTATCTCTTCACCACCAATCCAACCGATTGTTGATGAAGAAAATAGGAATGAAATCGAATTGAACGAAATGGGCATTGCTGAGGCAACTGAAAAAAATTTGATCACGCTGTTGGAATTAGTAAAGGAAAATGAGTGCTTATGGAATTTTACATTGCCCATTGAAAAACGCAATTCACACTTAATTGGCAACGCGTGGTTTAATATAGCCAAAAAGTTCAGTGGTAAGTTAAATAAATTGTGGACATTTAGATAGGATCCTATGTAAAATATGCAGTTTGCTAATTTTATTGATTATATATTTGGGTGAATACTTTATGAAAACTCGTTTTTTGTGAGAGAAAATATAGAAAACACCATAATTTACAAAAACGAATAGAAAAAAAGTAATTTTATCTGAAATATTTTGTAACGAAATTTTAAAAACTTATTTTGTCATTCATTCTTGGTCGCTATGAAATGAAATAGAGTACTCTAATCATATTAAGTTAATTTATCATTCAATGAATATTTCAATTAATTTATATTGTTAACATTTATGGATAGAAGAAAAAATTTTTTTTTAAATTTGAATACAGCTTTCAAAACAATGTCATTTTAATTTTTATTAATATGATATTAATAATTAATATTAATAATAATAAAAATTAATATGCTATAAATGGAAACATTTATTCTCATGCTTGTTCATAAGAACCATCAAAATGTATGTAATACCTGCACTTAACAGTACCACCTATAATTGAATGGACATCCCTTTTTTCTTGAGCTGAAAATGGTGAAACATTGAAAATAAACAAAAAAGAAACTTTTCCTTTTATTTCCTTAAAAACTAATGAAATTATGAAAAAATGACACCTGATAGAAGAGATTGTTTTTCAACGTTCTTGGACTTATTTCAATCGTTATATAATATAGTTTTCATATTATTCAATGGTATTTAGATAAAAATTTTCCCTTACAAGCTACAAACCGGGAAATTCGGATCATAATATGTCGGAAAATTAAAACCCACATGGCATCGAAACTTTTCTAAAAATTTATTAAAAATTGACTTGCAAACTTGGAATTATTTACTTGTAAACTTTAGCAGAAATTGTGTAAAGATTTTTTCCCACTGCAATAAATGTTTATCGTCAAACTTTCCTGAAAATTTCATAACATATTTTTACTTATAATAGAGTAGTCGAAAATGTAATTTAAATGTTCAGGAAAGTTTGACGATAAACATTTATTGAAGGGGGATATTTAAATCTTTACTCAATTTTTACTAAAGTTTGCAAGTAAATCTTTAATAAATTTTTAGGAAAGTTTCGGTGCTATGTGGGAAGATATTTTTGCAAAAAGAAACTCATTTTTAAAAATCAAATAAATATATTACTAAAAAGCTTTCTTAAATTTTCATGTATCTAAAAAATTTACATATTTTACTCAACCACTTTTAACATTTACAGGATGGACACCTAAAATAGCCAAGGATAATTACAATTATTTGAAAAATATTTTTACACGCAGGAATGTTAAACCTCGGAGTGGAGCAGCGGGTAAACAAAAGAAATATTGGATTTTTGACGAACACTTTTCGTTCCTTAGAGGAGTAATGAATCCTAGTAGGCAAGTATTAAATGGCAAACATAAACACAATTGAAAAAATCTTATTTTAACCTAAATAAAACTCAATTTGAACTCAATAATGCTTTAACATTGCTTGAAAATATTGCCAATATTGACGAAAAATGTTAAGACAACATTGCGTCAACATTGATTATGTCTGCCCTTTGGAAATATTAATTAAGAGCGTCATTCCGATACATGAATTTTGCAATAAATACAAGAACAGTGATTTGATGTAGAAATTAAGTATTGCCCAAAAAGCGTGTTCCAAGAAAGTACTCTGTTCTTAAGAGTTTATTTGCGCCCTTATCTTAAGGTCAAGTTACTAGGTGTAATGTATTTATTAGGTGTAATGCAGAAATTTCCCTACCCGGGCCCTAGTAGGGAATGAAACGCCGCGCCCGATCGGGGCCAGACCAGGACCTCGATTTCCTGACCAGGGCCACATCGGGCGCGGCGTTTCATTCCCTAATAGGGAAGCCCGGTCTGGTCCCGATCCGGACCATGGCAATATTTCTACATTTCCATTTTTACGTGCCCCATATACTTTAAAGTATATGGGGTACGTAACCACTAAATATCATTACCTTAAGTGACAATTCATTGATGTATAGAAACAAGTAAAATATAGATCATATTTTGTGCAAAACAAATAACAAACATATAACATAATCTTTTTTATTAATGAGAAGTCGTTAACAACTCGAGCTTCACATTGTTTATCCAGATGTTTGACAATTAGCTGATGATATTACTCTCTTCATATTTTATAGCACGACTTCCAACATTTCTTCTTCGGAAATCGCTGAAGAATCTGTCCATGCAAATATTCGAAAATTAGGTTTCGAGAAGAAAGAATCTAATGAATCTCCTATATCGAGTGAGTTACTTTAATATTTTATAATATTGTTCTATACGTATTATTCCATTTATGTCATCATTGTTATTAAGTAGAAATAATAGAAAATTCTCAATGAATCTTTTTATCATTTTCCATGGAATGAAACTTTTTTTTCAAGTACGTTGAATTTAAAGTTGTAACATGATTCTATTTTTACTATGCAGAAATATAATTACATATTCTAAATTTTAGTTATTGCAAATAATAATGTAACTTATAATTTCTTATCTCATTTTGTAAATACATAATTACCAATAACTTACTATTTATTGTGTCTCTGCGCCATATAAGAATCAATGTTCATTTTATATTATTTCATGTTTGAATTTTTTCGTCAAATGAAAAATGATATATTGAATGATATTTTGTACATTTTATTATGACATTTTAAAGCATTTAAAATTACGTCATGAGTATAAAATACTATTCTGTAATATGTATCAATAGATTTGTTTAAATAGATTAGAATATTATTACAGGTAAAAGAAGGAAACCATTAGACCCTTTGGAGGAAGCCTTAATTGAAAACATTAATAATAAAATGACACAGCAGCGTGATTCACGGAAAAGTTTGAACGAAATTCAGCAATGGGGTCAATGGATGAGTCAAGAAATACAGAATTTTTCACCCACAGATAGGCTTGAAGTTCAGGCCTTCATCACTAATTACATTTTTGAGAAAAAAAAGATTTCAGTATTTAACAACGAATTTTAATATTGAATTTTTTACTTCGTTTTTACTTTAATAGGTATTTCAAATATCTTTATCGTTTTAACGATGTTTTCTATTTCATTAACCTATTCCAAGGTTACTTTAATTTCGTTATATATTAAATTTTGTTACTTATTTTGAATTGCATTTTGGGATACTTATATTGCAAAGACTGAGTTATGGAATTTGTTCTAGTCTTGAACTATATACTTATAAGTAGCGTGAAGAGTTGTTCCAGATTCTTATTGCTTCAAAAGCGATTGTTTTGTAGCTTAAATGAATCTGTATTCTTAATACTGTTAATATTTTTTTGTTTGAAAAAAATTTGAAGTACAAACTAAGCGGTAATGTATTTTATGATTATACGTGTAAAAAGAAAAAAAATATCTGACGACCAATGCCTTACTATTAACTATTGTTTTTGGGAACAGTATATATACTACGTCTCAATATTTGTGATATTAAATAAATATGTATTTAATATGTAGTTAATAAACAGATCACCTTCTTTATTAAACATATATTTTTCTCTTAAAAATTTCATTACAGGAATCCATATAACCGAATAATCATTTAATATCAATTTCAATTAATAGAATTAGCTTGAATAAAAATTTAACAAATTCTCCATTGTTAGAATATTTATTTATCTAAAATTTCTAATGTAACATGGTCTAAAGAATATTTTTTAGAGTATTTTCAAATTAACATGTAAAAAATAATGAAGTTTTTATTTATTAATTTCGAATTTATGCTAAGCTACTTCCGTCAGATAATCTTTGAATTAGATTAAAATTAAATTTTATTGAAATAAAAATGTAGTCAAATGCAAGTTAACTTAATCAAATTACCATAAAGAGTATGTATGTTCGAGATAATTTTAGAATGATCCTTCGTCAACTCTCCTTTGCTGCCAAGAGAGTTTCCCTTCATTTAAAAAGTACTTTGTAAATTCATCCCTGATGTACATTGCAGCAAGTTTTTCTTCACGACGACTTTGAAAAGATGTAAAAGCATCCATTTTGAAATCATGACGCCAGTCTCCATCAATTTCCTTTTCATTCTGATCAATCCTGTCTATTAAAGTGGGTGGGCAATAATGACATTCGAATTCATTTGAATTTTCTTCCTTGATTCTTAAAAAATTGTGCAAACAAACTGCTGCTAGTATAATTAAGTTTACCAACTCCATGTTTCCTTTAATGTGATTGCGGAATATTCTCCACTGAGCAACCAATATGCCAAATGTATTCTCAATAATACGTCGAGCACGGCTCAGTCTGTAGTTAAATATTTGCTGATCATTTGGTAAGTTTCCTGTAGATCTTCCAGGATAAGGACGCATCACATTACAAGTTAATTCAAAAGCTTCATCTGCTACGGACACGTGGGGAAGAAGAGGTCCTCCTGGAATTAATGCAGAAGAAGGGGGAAGATGAAGAGAATTATCATTTAATCGTTTGCACAAGTTACTGTTGGCAAAAACACCACCGTCACTTTGCCTCCCATGGGCACCAACATCAACTATTAAAAACTTGTAGTTTGCGTCACAAAGGGCTAATAGATGTAGACTGTGGTGGCCTTTGTAGTCGTAGTTTTTGGAACCACTATTCGGTTGTGCCTGTAATAATAAAGCAAATATTAAACTTCATGAATAAAGTTTACTTAAATTTTTATCTCCTATTCAATATATACTTAGTATTATTATACTACA